AATCCACCCCTTTGGAAATATTGTTTTAAAATAAAAAATCTCAAAGCTTTTGGTAGCTGCTGCTACTGCTTTTCCCAGATGGATGTGTGAACTGATTGCAGCAAACTTGTTTATGTAGAGTCCTGCCGTTCACTTCCGAAACGTGTTTATTTACTTTCCTCTGAACCTCCACGAGTTCTACAAATCCTCTGGTATTTATACTCGTCCTGCCAGAGAGCTTGATAATTGGCAATGACGCATGTGTACAGTTTCTCAATCACGTACACACAATTAGGAGGGTGCTAATCCACAGTGAGGGGAGAAATCCAAAAGCCCCTACAGTGGCCCTTAGAGAATATTTCTGAGAATGTATTTATCTTCTTTGCATCACATTCAGGCTGATGGTTCACAGTAACTGTGGCATTTCATGGTTTCTTATGCAACAGTTTTATGTGGCTATTACAGTATCACTGACCTTATGAGTCTGAATTTCCCCTTTGTCATCAGACATAAAGTTCCCCTCTCATCTGTAGCTGGTCACAGGGACGGGAAATTATTTCTTTTTCAATTCCACAGTTGCACTTTCTTTCCAGTGTCTGTGTTTTTTTTTCTTCTAATCTTCCATCTCTTCTGCTTTTGCCCACATAAAGAAATTCTGGGACTCCTTGCTCAATGCCCTTTCACTTTTGATAACTCAGTTACTTATTCACAACACTCTGAATGTTTTATGGCAGGCTGTCTGTGTGTGTGTGTGTGTGTCTGTGTGTGTGTGTGTGGAACCTTGGATTCTTTTCACTTTGTGTGTGTGTGTGTGTGTGTGTGTGGGTGTGTGTGTGTGTGTGTGTGTGTGTGTGTGTGGGAGAGAGCAGGAAGTGAGATAGGATAGGTTCATCCAAGTGTTCTTCACACTCAAGTGCGTAATAGCTGTAGCCAAACCCCCAAATGCCTTGTAAGTCCCTTTTCATTCGCAGCTCTTGATAAGAACTTTTCTCTTATACTTTGATGGAAGTACAAATACCCACTGTACTGTACTTCAAGTTGAAGCCTGGCAATATTACATTTTTTTTCTCATTGTGAACAAATCCCATGAAAAGGCTGCAATCAACAACGATCCTACTGACAAGTGTCGTCTGTGTACCCAAAGCATGATAGAGATTATTCCTCTGTGCCAAAGACCTCAGTTGCAAATATGAATTAAATGAACAGCCAAATTGTTTTGCTCAGTGACATGTTTCTTAATTACCATGAACATAGGCACTGTAGTTCATTTCCACCCCCATACACACTGTCCTGCTGCTGTCAAAACTAACAAGAGCATCCATGGCTGAAAATAATCCTGGACAAATGCACAATTTTCGCGTTTGAGTAACATTTGTTAAAAACTACTGTACTATAACAAAGGGTTTATTATACACTATAATGTAGTTGTAAGCAGATATTAACATAATCGTCAACAACTATAACTATATCCTTCATCTATTACTGGAGGCTGAGCTATAAACAGATGATAAGCATCAATACAGTAAAACACAGGTTTACAACAAATGTCTCCATGGGAGAAGTTGACAAAAACTGTACATTAATGAACACTTTCCAAATTTCCTTATAGCTGCTTACAATTACAATATAGTGTGATAAATAGTGTGACACTCCCAATGGTACATTAAGTGGTTAAAATTAGCTTCACCTTGATCAGCAGCAAAGATAAAAAACTACTTAAATATTGGTTTGTCGTGATAACAATCCACATAAAATACATTATAACACTCACAGGGGGCATTTTAATGCATGATTTTACGTTTGATACAGAACAGTACATTTTGTTGATAATACTTTTGTTGTAGTTTTTGTTCTACTTCTTCCACCACTGCACACCGCCAAGTCTTATTTATCTCTTATCTTTGCACCTCCTGTTCTGTTAATGCATGCAGAAAGTCGTGTTGCACTGGGAGCTCAGGGACAAACTGTACTGGCCACACTGAGTCCTGTGTTTCTTTACACTGAGTGACCCGGACAGAACTATCCCAGCCCTTAAGCTCAGTTTCCATGCACAGATACACAACAAACCTCTCAGAGTTATAAACAGAATCACCTCCATATATCTGTCAGTGAGACAGATACTGAATACTCAACAGACAAATTCTGACAAGGACAATTCAGCAGCGCTTAACCCCAAATGGAAGTAGGGTCATCTTTGCGATGTGATTACATAAGCAATCAACAATATGTCAACTTGCTCAAAGTGTGATAATGTCAGTACATCGGTTGTCACTGTATGTTAAGACTTAAATGCAGCTTGCAACAATTGCAACACAGTTACCAATATTTTGGAAAGGTCTCTCAGGCGCAGCTCTGAATTAGCTTCAGTCCTATCTCTCAGACTGTATCCTGATAAGTCCAAAGTTCCTCATAAGAATAAATGTTCCTTGTGAAGTTCCACAGGGCTAAAATATAGGTCCACTACTCTTTACTTTTTATATGGTACTATTATTATGCACAAGCTCAGTATGGATTTTCATTGTTAAATGGATGCCGCCCAACTGCATTTAGTGATTGTTCCTAAAAAATCGCAGCCCTTTGTGTACAAACTGCATCTCTGACACTTGTGTGATATTTGTTTCACTGTACATATGTCACAATATATCGGCAGTAATAATTGGCTAAATGTATATAATAATGTGGGTAAATGTGAGTGTTATCACTGATTGTGATGTACTTTTACAGCTGTGTGCAAGGAATAGAAATGAAGCAGGTCTTCACTTTCTTCTCTTGATACACAGATATTTATTACAGGCTGGCTGAATATAATTGTCATTCTCATAGCAGTTGCCAGAGTTTTAGCCAGAGCAAATAAAAAGAGCTCAACTCGTTAAACCTGTTTTTGGTGGAATTTACATGTGAGTGAGGGAGAAACAACTTCCTGGAGTGGACAGCACACCTGGTTTCAGTTCAGTTCAATTGAATTTTAAACTCTGACAGTGATATATGTGACCATGATATCTACTGAGTATTTTTAAATTGCCAATATACTAAGGATTTGAATTGATAATGAAATATTAATGGTGAAGAAGCCCATTTAGTGCAGTACTTTCAGTGGCTTCCAGTTATTGAAAAAACAAAAATATTACCAATATTTTCTTTCTTATGTATTCCACCTTTCTTTTACTTACATATCCTTTTTTTGTTTTGTCTGGATTTTATTAATCTTTATATGAAGCAAATCAACTTTACAAAATATGCAGCGCCCTCACACACATAGTTGTTTTGACTGATCTGGATCAACACACTCCACATCTATAAATCAGATGGTCACACCATGTTGCTGAGAGCGTGTTACAAAAAGCTCGTTAGTTAATACAAGGTCACGTCTGCAGCAGGCGGCAGCTGATGACTGATATGTTTGTGGGAGCTTGACCTCAAATACACGGTGTTCCTGCCCTCACGAGCAGCTCCCTGAGGGTCAAATCCAAATGTCAAGCCATATGTTGCACGTGTAAATGTGTGTGTATTTGTATGAGTGATTTGTGGCTCCTCACAGTGTAAATCTGTACATGTAGCGAGCAGGAAAATTGCCAGTTTGGAACAGGCAGTACCAGCAGAAATTTAAATAAGGTTTCACCACTTTCTTAATCTCTTATCTTGCTGGAGATAATGAGCGAGCAGGGAGAGGAGAGGAGTGCAGCAGAGTTCACTTGGCTCACGGATGGTTTGGCTTCTCATTTTGCTGTTGCGTCACTTGACTCCCGCATAGCCTTTCCTGTCAGACGTCAGACACCTGTCCATTCTCAGTTTTATGAATAACTGGCCAGCAGGAGGGTCATCAGGGTCCAATGCATCATCACCCGGCATCACAGCATTATCACAGGGAGCAAGTGCATCATCAGTGCGCCTTGTCATCAATTAGAGGAAAAGGATGTAGGTTTTGCTGGTTTTTATATTAATGAAAGAAATCAGATAAAATAATAACTATTACTGTGCTTATACAGCTCTTATGAATATACAAAAAAGTCTGTGTTGCAAAATTATTATTATTATATAGTTCCTGACATTGCCAGTTATACTAAAAAAATAATGCCTTTTTAAGAGACCACATGACTGTCATAAATATGCTGTTGAGTCCTACTAAATTCTCATATTTTAGCATATAGATCATGATATTCAAACTTTTTTTTCACATACTTTTTCAACATATGCAGTGAAATGCATACTCCTAAGGGAGTGCTAAAAGACTAATTTACAGTAAAGAATATAATTATAGAATATGATTATATATAGAAGTAGAAATAAGAATAAAAAGATAAGTATAAATTAAGGCACTGTTGCATCTCAGCGAGAAGATTATGGTTTCGAACGTAGGGTTTGCATGTTCTCCTCATGCCTGCATGGGTCTCCTCTGGATACTCCGGCTTCCTCCCACAATCCAAAGACATGCTGGTTAGGTTAACTAGCGACTCTAAATTGCCCATAGGTGTGAATTTTTGCATGAATGCTTGTTTTTCTCTATATGTCAGTGCTGTGACCTGTCCAGGGTGTAACCTAACCTCTCCCAGTGTCAGCTGGGTTTGGCTCCAGCCCCCCCGCAATTCTAAAAGGTTAAGTGGTATGGCTAATGAATAAATGAATGACTATTAAGATGTTAAATTTTTAAATATACAAGAATGTAGAAAATATATGAATCACAGCTGTAACTGCAGACAATGTGCAGAGGTCAGAGACGAAGTTCACCAACCTGACAGCCAAGAGAAATAAGCATTTTCTGAGTCTCCGTGTGTTAGGGTTGAGCAGACAATCTCCTTTGTTATTATTTGAAAGTGTAAATATGAATGAAAGTGCATGTGAAAAGTTCTAAGTGCAAAGAAAAGTTACCTACCATTAACATGCCAGTAAACATATCCATCTTATTATTGAACAAAGTCCAACACACAACCAGTTTAGGAAGTGAACTTTATTTAAATAAATAGCCACATAAATAAACAATCTTTCTTCAACTAGCATTTTCTCTCCTTTCCTTTCTTATTCGGTTCCTCCCCTCCACACACACACTCACACATGCACACACACACACACACACACAGTCACACACAGACATGCACATGCTCACGCAGTCAAGTAACAAATAACAAAGGATAACAAAGAAAAAAAACATGAAATACTTCTTATTATCCCAAGTTTATCAAAAGGGTCATTTTACAGATTTGCATCAAGAGCCTTAGTGTTTCAATAGTTTTGTGAAGATTTTTTCATCATGAGAAACAAAAAAAATTGGTAACAAGAAATATGAATAAAGTGCAATTCTTGCTTCTGTTTACTCAGCAAGCTCAAAGGTCAAAGAAGTTATCAAAAGGGGCCTCTGAGATAACAGCCAATAATGGAGCCATCCATTTTAATTTCTTCAGTGTAGTGATCAGAGATGGACACCTCTGATTGTGAGTTTGTTCAGAGAAAGGCACAAGTGTTGGTAATGAGTGCAATCAACTAAAAATTATTGGGTAAAGATATCAATACTGCATGTTTCCAACGTAGAACTGGGTTTGGAAAAACACTGCTCCTCTACAAGATGTTTCACAGATATGAGAGAACTAACTAAACGTCCAATTTTACACATCTCTTGCAGCTTTCTAATATGTCATCTGCACAAATAATCAGCTTGTTGCAGGTCATTTCTACCTATCTCTAGCCACTTATGGACAACTGAAGAAAAGTTCAACTTCCAGCACAACATGGTATTGCTATGTTGTTTTTTTTTCTTCTTCTTTTCTAGAAAAGTACAAAAATGAATACCACCATGGTCCTCCTGACAGTAACAGCTAGAGATATTAACAACACGTGTAGCATTAAGGTTCGGTGGCAGCGGGAGTTTTTCTCACAGCAGAAGCTAAGGAGATCATGTGAAAATGCTAGCTAACCACCATGCTACATTTTGAGACAGCATTCAAAGTGAAAATTCAGTAGTGTATCTGTGATAGATCACCCATCTCTTGTGCTGTTCACTCTTTGGTAAAACCCAAATTCTTCCTTTCAGTTTAACAACTACAAGAATGCCGTATGTAGAAACAGCATTTTGAAATGCCTTCAGTCTTTCCTCTCAATTTCTACAGTATCATGTTATTATGTTACATAACGAGTACCCTTTCTAGTCAGCTAGCCAGCACAGCAAGGTCAAACAGACAAATAGTAAAAACAAAAAAAAGCCTCAGGCAAATATTTTCACCATCCTATGTAGCGCCTTATCTTTCCTTTGTATTTCAATGTGAAATATTGCACTGTTCCCACAGTCTTTGTTCTGTCCAGGTTTTTCTGTTTCCAAATTCTTGCCTGAGGAGGTAGTAAAAGCATCTAACAAGAAGGTGCTTATCAAAAGAAGGGAATATGGATTGTTGTATCCACATATGTAAGGTGCTGCCGAGCTGACTGATGTACCTTTTGTGCTTTACTCAATCAGCGAGACACTGTCTTCCTTCACTTTTGGCTGATGAGGATGTAGCAGATTTGAAGCTTGAGGTAAAAGCAGCATTTGCGTAGCTATAATAATCCTGCACAGAAAATTAAATCACAGTTTCAATACAAACCAAAATTGACCCCGTCAGTGAATCTTTGTAAGTTTAGGAAACTATACTGTGTCTTCATTGCACTGCTACAGAGAAATGTCTCATTAGAGAGGTGAACGAAGTAGGGAAAAAAGAAAAAAAAAGAAGAAAGAAATTAATTTTGGTCTTCTGCCCAGTCAAGTGTAAAACATCAAGAACAGGAAATTACACAAAAAAGTGACTAAAAAAGAATGAGGAAGATGGAGCCTTTCTGTTTTCAGAAAATCAAAAACTTAACTTAGACAGCATCAAAACATGTGAGGCATAACTGTATCAGCTAACGTCAGCTCTCATTTCATTCAAGTGAGTCCATCAAGGGGCTGGATGAGAGTCTTTCAGTCTATTATTGCTTCTCTGGCTGTCTGATACGGATTTTAACACCTCATCCAGAGTTTGGTTATTGCTTAGTCTTTAGCTTATATGATATAAAAAGCATTCACACAACATACACGTGTGTGCAACACGTGTACCCCGTGTTGCTAAATAAAGTGTACATTTGTCGCTTGCATCTGCTTTTTGTTCTTTCTCCTTAATTCTGCTCTCTCTTCTTCTGGGCTCAAAATCAAGTCGGGTTTGCTCAGAGCTTCTTCAACAGAGAGAGCAGTCGTTGGTCTCAAACATGGCTGATGTTTTACTTCACCATCACACAGCTACTGAGCTGCTGCTGCCCGGCCAGACCCAACTCCTGCATGTCAGGATCGGTGCTGGAGGCCACACCCAAGCTCCACGCCACTGGTTTGGAGAGGATAGGGAAAGTGCGTTGTGTGGCAGACTGGTGGTGCTGCTGCTGGAGGCTGGAGTGGGGGTGAGGGTGGGGTTGCTGGCTGATGTGCAGGCGGGCCTCGAGAAGGTAAGCAGCTGAGGCCACGGGGGACAGCGAAGAGGAGTAGCAGGATGAGGAGGATGAGGAGCAGCCAGAGGAGGAAGTCTCGAGGGTTTGTTGCCAGGGGCCGTGCTGTAGCCCCACTGAAGCTTGCTGAGGAGGCAGGGCGGAGGGGGCGGGGGTGTCAAACAGGGTGGAGGAAGCAAACACGGTAGTAGGTGGAGGAGAGGGTGACTGCTGCTGAGCCAGGAAGAGCAAGGGATTCTGGGTAGGTCCTTTCTGAGCTGCTTGGACCTGAGGCTGAGGCTGGTGCTGGATCTGCAGCATCCTGGAAAAGAGAGACAGAAGATCAGTCTCTGTGTCCACATCTGGATACACTATTCAGGGGATAATCATGTCAAGGTTTTGAAACTACATTTTCCATAAGGGAGTCTAATATAGTGTAAAAACTTAATTTTCTGCAGTTATGAGTAGCATCTTTAATCTGTAATTTCTAAGTGGATTGATTGTTCATTTGCGTGGGACATCAGTCACACTGCATCTAAAAACATGTATCTTAATTTGAGTTACAGCTCCCACAAGGAGTACAACATTTAACTCACTGTCTTTGCCTTCACACCTGTCCCTCTGCACCTCCCTTCATCCTCTCCCTCATAGTTTGAAAACTTCAGATCTACATGATCTAATATGTGTAAAGTAATAACAGTGTGCTGTCATGTAATCGTCTGTCTCACCTTTGCTGGTGCAGCACCTCCTCCAGCATGCTGCGGTGCTCAGAGAGAGCTGGACCCAGTGACCCTCGGCTGCCGCGGTTACAGGAGGGTGGAGGGACAACCTGCCTCGTCAGACCCTTGATCTTATTTAATCCCAGAAGCCCCTTAGTGCGTGTGTTTTTCCTCAGCTGCTGGCGGAAAGCTTTGAGGCCTGCAGAAAGGCATGGGAAAGTGTTACACAATACTTCTTTGATCCGTTACTGTGACACGTAAGACGTGAGAATAATGAAAATCAGATTAGATAAATGACGCTGTATTTCGTGATCCTGCTCCTGTACCTTGTGTGAGGGAGGTGTCGGAGGCTCTGCGACCCTCTTGAAAGCTGGCAGCGGGCAGGCTGCCCTGCGCCTGGGGAAGGAGGTGGGAGGAGAGGGCCAGAGGAGCTCCAGCTGGCACCAGAGCTCCACCTTCAGCCCCAGAGGTCAGAAATGTTGACATATCACCCATAGCAGCCTGCAAAGTGGGGGTGGGACTGGATGAGGACTTTAGACAGCTGTCAGAGGAGGCACCATCAGAGGGACTGACCACGATACCTACAGAACAAGAATTGAGAAGACATTAGATTCTGTATGGCTGAAAGAGCACGTATTAACATGTGCTTTGTGCTTTTATGTTTGTGTACTAACATGGAGGATTGCACTGGTGGAAACGGGCGGACACCTCAGCCAAAGTGTGCCTGCGGGAGGTGGTGGTGGGAGGAAGCAGGGGCCCGAGAGTTTGCGTTGCCTCCTCCTCCTCCAGGTCTCTGGGTCGCACCTCTTCACTGATGCTTGTCTCCAGCAGGCTGTTGGGTGAAATGGAGCGATTCCAGAGCAATCTGTTCAGACTGGCCTCCACTGGAAACACCACACGCTGAAACAGAAGGAGGATGACTGTTAGCCACTGACTGGCAGGAGACACATGAGATGCAGTATTTGCATCAGAGTGGAGGGTGAAATCTCTGAATACTGTCAAGTTTTATTTCACATTTACCTGGAACAATCCACCTTGATCACACTCCATCTCCGGGTACACAGGTGCAGTATTTTTGGCTGGGAGTGAAAATGCGGTTGTCCTAAAGCTGTCGCCAGACTCCATGATCACCTAGAAGCAAGCAGGAAGCACACAGCTGTTTAGACTTAAAATAGAGGATGCAGCCTGGATCAGGACTAGTTTGAGCTTGATACACCCAGCTGGAGTGCTCACCTCTGGGCCGGTGGAGTCGGAGGTGCTCCTGGGTCTCTGACTCCAGGATCCACACTGGCGGCTCAGCTGCTGGGTGCGATGCTCTCTCACTCTCTCCAGCAGCAGATAGTAGATAGCAGAGAAGTGATTGTAGCTGCTGCTCTGCAGAGACTGAGGAAGACAGAGGACATTAGATTAGAGGTTTTGCCACTTTGTTTACCTTCTGTGGCTCTTGATGCCAGTTTATATCCTATAGCTTTCTTTAGCCAGGTGTAACTTTAAATATAATCTCTTTGGTGATGACAGACCAAGAAATTGTCTCTGCTTTTAAAAACAGAAGGCAAAAGTATCTTAAACTCCCACCTACTCACTGCCCCACCTCAAGACACAAGTCTCCTGAAACTGTATAAAACACATAAACAAAACAATAAAACACCAAACATCTTTTCTTGTTCAGTCACCTCGATAGTCCTCTGGCGGTCGATGCCCAGTGTGTTCATGATGCCCAGCACGGGTTCGCTGTAGTCGCCCAGGTTTGAGTTGTACTCTGTGAAGGAATGGCTGAGGGTCTGGTGGGCGGCTGTTGGGTCTGCCAGCATCCAACGGTGCTGCTTGATCTGGGCCACGCTAATCCTCTTGGCCGGGTCCACGACCAGCATTTTACGGATCAGGTTTTCACAGTCTGGAGGACGTAACGGCAAATGAGTCTTGGGGTTGCAAGCGATTTGCATTTAAACAGAATTGGTAATTAGCAGTAAGCAGGTAATTGTCGTGATTAGACGTGAGGATAATGGATACCTTGGGACATGAAGAAAGGGATTCTGAATCGCCCCTCTGTGACTCTCTGTCTGAGGGCAGGAAGGCTGGGTCCATCAAAAGGAAGCGAGCCGCAGACAAGAACATAAAGTACCACACCGAGGCTCTGTGCAGAAAGCAGCAAATATGAGAATGTTAGCAACATTTTAAAAATGTTAATGCTTACTCTTCGAATCATCCTGTCTGTATTTTCCTCATACAAGCTTACCCAAATGTCCAGCTGAGGCCCCTCATATTCCTTCCCTTCAAACACTTCAGGGGCAGCATAAGGCGGGCTGCCACACCATGTAGACAGAGGCTCCCCTGCATTGTAGAAGTTTCCAAATCCAAAGTCTACAAGACACAGACAGAGATATATAACAGTTTTATTATTCAAACTTGTTTGTTTTCTCTACATTGAAGCATGACGAGCTCAGGGCATCCTTTAACCACAGCGTCTTTACCATTTACCATCACTACCATCATCATTACCATCCTGAGGTTCAGAGACCAGATCATATAGAGTAAACATATAACAAAATACACGTTGTCTTGCTCTGTTCTGAGAGTTAAGCTATAATATTTCTTTATGCAAGAGTGTCTGCTTATGTACTGGATTCATTTCCTCTGGTTGATGTTAGTCTTGGTAAAATGAATGAATTATTCACACTTAATTAGCACACAGATGATTTAATTAGAATGGTTTAGGAATCCCAGAACAGCGAATACTTTCTTCAGGCAAAAACTGAACAGAATACTAAAACAGCAGGGAGGTGCAGAGAGACGGTGTCAGAATCAAAGCATTGATTTCTAATAAAAAATCAGTTAATAGTCTCTGTCTCACATAATACAGCACCTTCCTGCAAGCTAACCAGTAAGCACGCTAATGGTAAACAGTATATGGCAGACATACCAGCCAGTTTGATATTCATGTTGGCATCCAGCAACAGGTTCTCAGTTTTTAGGTCACGGTGAACGATGTGGTGTCGATGGCAGTAGTCCACTGCTGTAAGAATCTGCCAGAACTTCTTTCGAGCCTCATCTTCACTCATACGGCCATTTGAGGTCAGGTGGTCTGCAGGGACAGAGGATATTTTAGTCAAACATGTCGGTCTCTCTATCAGACTATTGAGGACTGACAGATTCAGCCTTCATTATTTGTGAAACAAAATTTGAAAGCTGAACTCACCAAACATCTCTCCATTCTTTGCATACTCTGTCACGATGTACAGCATGTCTTTGGTCTCCATGACCTGAGAGAAACAGAGAGTGAAAAAAGAAACAGTTTATACCCACTGGGTTACGGGCAGCTGGTGATGACGAAAAATACATTTTCAGGTTAAAATCAGTTCCAAGTCCTTCAGCGGTGCCTGCTCCAGGCATTTCTAGGCATGAGACATTTTCTAACCACAAAAATCCCCTTTGCATACTTCTCCAAACACTTGTTCCACTCGCACAACACACCAACACCCTGGCTTTCCATGATATGTCCTGTTGCATAAGCCAGCCGTCAGTGACTTCCTGACACACACACACACACACACACACTGACAAACACATATCAGATGGTCAGAAATATTTTCCTTGAGGCTGACACTACTTGGCAATAGATTCTAGTGTTGAATTTCAGGCTAACCCTGGCTTTTATTTCTTGGAAACACAGGGTGTTCACATGGGTCCCGTCTAGTGTATCCTAAACACCAGAAGTGCAATCATGGGCCGGAAAGACGCAATTCCCAATCCTTTCCTGGAGCTCACAGAAAGCTTCCATTTCCCAGGAGAGCCCTCGGGGGGACAAAGCAGCTGAGATAAAAGCTTGTACAACAAAGCAATTTTTGTCAGATGACAAAGCCCTGTCTGGGTAATGCTGCTGGCCAACTCAGAATAAAATGCCACTAAAGTCCACTGAATGGTGGAACTTTATTCTTTTCAGCCACCGACCCCGTAAGAACACCAGGCAAAGAATGATTCAATACACAGATGCCTCCAAGCAGGGAGTAGTCTTTATCTGTCAGATAGGGCAGCTCTCTGGGGCTCTGTCACCTTGAGGTGCAGCTGACGTCAGGGCTCTGAAAACCAGGCACGGCACGTCAAGTACCCTCAACAACCCTAGAGGGAAGATTAACCCCTTAACTGCCATATTTTTCCCTTTTATTTGCTATAAAGTAGCTTTAAAGTTATTAAAGCTGTATTCAATTTACAGTGAGTGAAATATTTCAACCTAAGACACCATGTTCTTATGGCTTTACCTTTGTAACTATCTTAGAAGTATTTTACATGTCTTGCATCAATTTATACACATTCCCTCAAATTTCTGCTTGGCATTTTATTTACAAATTCAGGGGTCATGGCAGATCAGCATAGTTTGTACTAGCTGGCCCATCGATGGCCTCTGGGAATGTGGGATTTTGGGGGATAAGAGGGGAATGTGTGGTTGATACAAGGTCAAAGATAGGATGAGACAAAGACAAAGGGCAAGGCTTCAATGATCCTTGAAAATAAAGGAAAATGTTTTTTTTTTCTCATGAGACCAGTGAGAGAATGGAGCAGCTGATTTCTCAGGTCATAGGTCTCAGACAGCTCCCCAAAAAACTGCACCAACACTTAGAGGATGTAGGCCCTGGATCACAAGACCAGTCTTGTGCCACCGTCCTCCCTTTTGTACAAGAAGGACAGAAATAGGGGCTGCAGTGATGAAGACGGTTGCTTACCATCACTGAGTACCAAGCATCTGACTATCATCACCTTAGACAACCCAAGGGCCTGGAGCCAAGGATGTATCACATTCAGAATACAGACAGGCACGATCATTCAAGTTAGACTACAAATCTATCAGATACAGATAAAACCGAATGGTTTACTGTCTCTCTTGGTCAAATGATATTTGTCTATTTCACACGCTTTTAATGGCAACATTAAATATTACTGTCACTGAATTTCCACAGCTGTTTGTTTTGGTTCTAACCAGACTATTAGCCCTGAATGGAAACGCTGTCAAACCTCTCTAATGGTTATTGTCTCTTTACACTTGCTTGAAAGCACTAATACACATGGGTATAATATTGTTGCAGTATCAATATTTGGTTATTGAGCTAGCATTATACTAGGTCCTCAACTACCCAAATAATCAATTAATCATTTGGTCAATAAAATGTCAGACAATAGTGAAAAACATCCATTATAGTTTCCTTAAGCCCAGGGCGGCATCTTTAAACTGCTTGTTTTGTCTGACTAACAAACCTAAACACAACACAACAATATCTAGTTTACTGTCACATAAGACAAAGAAAAGCAGCAAATGTCCACAGTTAAACAGCTGGAAGAAAGGAATATTTGGCATTTTTACTTGAAAAACTTAATCAAACATCAATCATTCATTAACTAGTTGCAAATAAATTCTTTGACTAATTGTTATTGTTCTGATATTTGTTTGTCATTACCCAGCCCAACTGTGTATGATAGGAAACATTGATGGGCCTTCCAGAGAATAATGTCATGCTCTTATTTTTGCAGTGCAGACGTGATTTCCCAGTAAGCACTGCTCAGCTACTTAAAGCCGGACATGAAGTAATCCACAAAAAGTAGCAAAACATTAAAGAGGTCAGAAAAAGTCCAGAGTAAAAAAAAAAAGAAAGCGAGAAATGAAAAAAGAAAGGGCTTTGCGTGTTTGTTTGCATGGGTGTGTGTTTGTGTGTTTGTTGCCAGACGCGTGCCACAGCACTCGTAAGGCCAGCTGAGGGGAAAAAAGCGGATTCTCTCCACTAAGTCTTCAATTTGATTAGGAGTAAAGAAGCACTTTGTGAGTTGGCCTTCACGTGACATGCAGACACATTGCACTTGGCTTTAACAGATGCTAATTGGGCTTAATGTTCAGACCTGTGAACACATCTTTAACTAGCTGCACTCTCCTGACTGCTCTGTTTCCCATATCTCTGCACTCACTTCTGACATTATACAGAAACAGAAACAGAAAACATCTTAGAAATGCATTGTTCTCAGCACTGACTGGTACCATGGTTGTTCTTGCAGTCTATCTGTAGCACACACACACACAAACATGCAGACACACACACATACTGGGAGAGGTCAAAAGGGATTGCACTAATGCTGTTGTGCTGTACTTATGATTCAATGTGCTTTGAGAGTCAGCAGCACAAAACAAGCAAGTACAAACCACTTAGATAACAAATTCCCCTTATTTTTGCCACACATAATGGCACTGCTACATCCATAAATCCACAATAATGATGCACAAAGCGCTGCACCACAATATTGTTACTGAGGGAAATGAATTTGTCCCTAGTTTGCAAAGCTCTCTGCACACGGAGTCGTCACAGACCAGGCTGCACAGTGTTTGGTGACAGTGACATTCTGCACACATACAATGTGCATGCACAACAACACTGCAGGAAGATGAAGATAATACACACCTGGTACAGTTTGATGATATGAGGGTGGTTCAGCAGCTTCATAATCTGCACTTCTCTGTAAATTTTCTCCAGGTTGGAGGGATTTAGCCTGGTCTTATCAATGATCTTTATAGCGACCTGAAAAACCACAGAAAATTGTTTGCTTGTAAATAAAAAAATATTTTGCTTTGCATCCAAAAAAAAAAGCACAGTTATGTGAAGAGCTGCTGACCTGTGTTTTGGTGACTTTATGTTTGGCCAGTTTCACCACTGCAAAGTTGCCTTTTCCCAGAGTGCGGATGATCTCGTAGAAGCCGACCTGCAGTGGCCTTCCCTGGGCAGGGCTGGACTGAGCCCCCCGGCTGTTCTCTGTCATGATCACCATGGTGCACCAACAGTCTGGACTTACAGCGTTGGGATAAATGAAGGCTTGTACCTGCAATGGCAGGGACAGAGTTGCAGACTGTATATTAGGTGGATTCCCATTTTACTCAAGCTTCACAGATCTATCTATCTATCTATCTATCTATCTATCTATAAGTATGTATATATGAGGGCTTATATGCCCACAGAATATCGGCTCCACGCATATTAGGTTAAAGCAAAGTTTATTTATATAGCACATGTCATACACAAAGGAAATTCAAAGTCCTTTATATGAAATAGATAAAAAGAACAGAGCATAATATAAAAAATATTAATATGCATAATATATATGATATTAAGATGTACAAATGCATGAATATATATATATATATATATATATATATGTATATATATATAGGCCTATGCATAGCCTAGCTATAGTGCAGCAGCGTGAACACTCTTGTATAACAAGTGAGTTCAGTGGGGAAAAAGAAGCCTGTGAGTGAGTAAGGTAAAATGTAAAAAAAAAATCTTAGTGATACTAGCGTTAGCCAAAGGAAAATTATTTTATTTTAGGTGTACAAATACATATCCCAGTTCTAAACAAGGCTTAAAACGGATAAAAAACGTTTTATTAATTTGTTAATAATATAGCCATAATTAGATCACAATATACAGATAGGCCTACTTTGTTGTCTGTTAAACATAACCGACTAAAAAGAAAGTAAAATTGGTGAGTAACCAGACTGACTAAAACCGAAGGGTAGCTTTGGATCGGGTTAGGAGATTGCAAATTGGCTAGTAAAATGTGGGTAAAAAGTCGAGTCTTACCTTAAAAAGCGGACATACACCACCGTCTCTCACAGTTCAGACAGCTCTCGGAGGAAACGTAAACCATTCCACAACCAGAGCGAAGTATTAGCGACACAACAAAGAGGAAACACTGCAGAAAACACGCGCGGAGCAACTTTTTCCTCCCGTCTCTACTTTAAGTTAATACAACAAGTCTTTGGGCCCGGGACTGGGCTGCGGCCGGTGTGTGCCTGTGCGCTCCGCCGGAATGCAGAACAGAGGGCTTCGGCACTCACAAGGGGAACTCCTCCTCGCCTCCTCCCCCTCCTCCCTCCGCCACCATAACAAATTGATACCCACCTTATTAACGTCACACTCGCGTCAGAGCTCCGAGCTGGGTGCAAGGCAAGGCCGGACCCAAGCGCAAGGCAAGGGTTGCCCAGCAACCGCGCGGCTCGGGCGCCCGGTGACGCGAGTGCTGATGGAGGGGTTGCTTAGAGATGGGAACGGTGACGTCAGTCGTAGAGATGTGTCACCACGTGATGTTTCCTTCTGCCGGGCTGTTGCTCGCGGGCTGCCTCGCTCTCACTCCACAGACCGGCAGCGCGTGCGGCTGCAGCAGGAGCAAAAACTGAAAGCAACTGGTGACAGTTAGATCGTTTTTGTTGTTTTTATGGTTTACTTAGTGAACTAGTTCTACTGCATTCTATTCTTCTCTGATCATCACAGTTTCTATTCTATTCTATTCCGTAGTATACTGTGTTGTTTGGTTCCTATTCTGTTTTCATGTTTTCTATTATTCTAATGCTACCGTTTGTACCATAATATATAGGCTACACCTTTTAAAACTTTATATTATTGTGCACCCATTAAAGGTACTATGCAAACGTTTTTGAAAGACAAATTAGCACAATCTGCCTCTTACAAATGAAGAGTTAAGTTCATAAGTAATAAATTCACCCCCTCTCATTTCATTACTCATGATTTTTACCACCACAGCCTGATTTGGTCTGGTATGACCAGTAACTTATGATGGCTGATGTTTGCAAAATTTAAATAAATGCTGACAACTGAGTGAGTATATCTGCTGTCTCTCTACTTTTGCTCCTGTTACACTACATTTTAGCATGTCGTAGGTTAACATGTTCAGTGCAGCTTGCTTGTTAGAATTTTGAGAAATGAAAGGAAATTGAATGCAACACTATCTTGTAATTACCACAGTGGCCACTGTTCAGCAAAATAAAAGTCAAAATGGAAAGAGAAGGTTCTCTCCAACAGCAAAAATGATAGCATTTTATAATAAGTCACCCCTTGTTAGGGATTTTTAAGTAGTAACCCATGGCTTTATTAATGGTTAATAAATAACTTACTAATTCTTTATAGCTCAGTTATAGACAATGAATAAAAATTACTTTTTGGATGTTAATTGTAAAAAATATTTTTCGGTATTGCTTAGCCTCTCTATTTGCAGTTATGGATGTTCATAATCCATTAATAAATGCTCATGGGTTTCCCATTTTTCAATAAAACATAATGCCTGCAGTTATAAATATCTGTAGTTGTAAATAACCCAGAATTGGTCTTAGTAATGGGTTATACTGTAACTGATATAAGTAAATTATTTCTTAACCAATAATAAAACTACAAGTTATAACTTAGAAACTAGAAAACCTGTTTTAAAAGCTTTTTTTTTTTCATTAAAAATTGTATTTGCTGGTACTGCCTGGCTCATATTATAAATCAGGTTAAATGACAGTACAAAAAAAGTACAAAAAATATCTTTCTTCTCTCTGCACAAAACAGTTGGGACACAAAAGAGGGAGCACAGCATACTGACGCAGAAGGGAAGAGACAAGACAGAGAGGGAGGACAGGGAGGGTGTGAGTGTTTCCAAAGACTAAGCACAAGACATGCATGAGAACCAGATGACATGTTGACACAGAATACATGCGCACGTGCAAAAATACACAAACATCCATGTGAATCCTCACATTACGTACTGGAAGTACTCCAATTCATTTTGTGAGTGAAAGGCAAAACCATGTTTTTTATAAACGTGCTGTAGGTGTCAGTTAAGAAAGCAGATACTGTCGGCCTACTATAATTACCTCGGTCTGTATCTGGATTCTTTGTGAACCATCAATTTACACTGTCAGATGTCCAACACCTGTCCTTGTAATGGATACATCATACACTATGTACTGCTGATTTTCAGTAATGACAGGTTCTGTGTGTGGCTTCCTTCTTCTGTTTCTTCTCTCAGGCTGTGCATCAGCTGAAAGCTTATTGGGTTAACTTATTTCCTGTGGTGGTGCCAATTTGTTAATCAAGATGAGGACAAAAACACAGTCCAGGTCATCTAGATAAAAAAAAAAAGATAAATGAAACTGAACTGATAAGTCAATGAGCAAAGTTAGCTGTATCTATCAAGTGGTTAAGTTGAGAGCATATACATGATGTCCAAAGTCACTTACAGGTGTCTTGACTGTCTGGCCTGCAGCCAGAGACTACTTTGAGACCAACTAAAAGACAACAACTATAACATGTTTAAGATGGTTGACATACTGTAACATTTCAGAGCATGCACAGAGTCAATGTGGGTGAATGTAAATACCAAACATCAACCCCAGTACAGAGACAGGGTTTACCCTCCTACACTCTGAAATGTTAAAGGAATGCAAACTGCATGCAAAAAGTCTCAGCTGAAAGGTCACGCAATATTTTGATGCACACTTACAACAAAACCACACAGCCCACACTGCTTCTCATCTCACTGTTTTCATAACCAAATGTCTCTACCTGGTGCCTTTTGAATGTCTGCCTCACTTGCATGTTACAGTTGAGTGTGGGCAAAGCAGACACAGTTACATAAACTGTATTTATCTGAGTCAGATTGTCTCGGCATAATGAGAGACCGGTTTTAAAAAAAGAAATGAGTGACATATCGCAGTATAAAAAAACACTTTTACCAAACAGTGGCCAACGTGACCACATGTATTACAAGATAATAGTAGCTACATTATCATTTTTAAAGATTCTCTTAAGATAGTAACATTAAAGTCAGTTAGACATTACCTACTGTGTCTAAGGTTTGCTAACATTGGCCACCATAATCTATTGGTCACAATAAACCAAGTGAGGCTGAGTGTAACGAAATAAGCACGGGTGTGTTTTGTTTAAATAATTTAACTTTTGGTTTGAAACAAGATTGTGTTGTTTTATGTTTCAAATGTTGCGTTAAGCTCACTTTAAGTGGAAGATAACTCTTCGCTTTCACTTCTACTCACAAACCTTAGAATAAAAGCTATTTATCATAATTTCTCTAACTAAAACTGCCCTTGAATTTAAGACACCCCCCTCTTACGTTGGTTCAGAGTAGATCTTAAATGACACTTACTGCCGTACTTAGCTTAGCCATTTGGAGGCAACATCTTAGAGTGATTGTACAAAATAGCATTACCCATGCTGAATAATATATTAGCCGGACCAACATGTATTCAGAATAGGCTGCTATTTGCAACTGCCGCACAATACCCATTAGATAGGATGTGAAACCACTTTTTCTTTTACTCATCAGGGCTGCCAACAGCAGGAATAAAGCTTGCATTGTCACTTTTCAAACATTCTCACTTGTCATTGTGGTACAACATTTCCCTTATGGTCATAATTATTTGTAATCTATTCCCACTCTAAGAGTATGTGTAATTATTCATCATTAATCATCACTCAAGAGCCGGTCTTGAACATTACACCTACACTTTACTGTAGTAAAATAGCTACAGTAGAAGTAGAAGAGATACCCTTGATAAATGTGTTGGTTTTTTTTTAGAGCATTTCTGTGTAATTCTTTGAAATGTGATCAATAAAGTCCCAGATATGTTTCAATCGTAGTTTGTGATGCTGAACCACAATATAAGTAGATCATTTGATGATTTTTATTTTCCAAGCAATGAATAACCATAGAAAAAAAAGTGTGAGCACGAGAGTTGATAAGCATGTTGAATGTGTTGTATGTGAGCCAAACCACATTTAGCGCAAATCATTCTCACATTTACAACTTCTCATTCCTGGAAATGACTTGAGTGTCCTTATACCCTCTGTCACTGTCTCCTCTCACTTTCCATTACCAAAACTACTTGCCTAACCGTAATATCAACCTAACCCTAACCTTCACACTACAACCTGAATCTAACTTTACTATAACCTTAAAACATGTATTCACCACAAAATGTAATGATTTACATTATGGGGGCTTGCTCTTTCTCCCCATAAGGGAGACAGGTCCCCATAATGTGACTGTTTAAACAGATTACGGTCCCCGCAATAAGAGTAATACCTGGACCACACACACACACTACATGGATTCTTATGATATTAATTGTTTATCAAAATCATCCCACACAGTCACAGTCCACACACTTTTCAAAATTTGAATGAGTGTGCATTTTCATCACAACTAATTGCTGGCAACTTGTTGTTACAGTCAACAAAGATGCTGCAAAAATTCAAGTATTTCCATAGGCACAAAAGAAAAGAATGTAATGCCTGCTATCAGTCATTTAGAGACTTTCTGAAAACAAATACAAACAGGACTGACTAAGCAGTCGTTTTGCCTTCAGGACTTATCGGTGTTAGCTAAAAACACGTGACTTATCAAACACGTTTCACTGCACATTCAGTTTGATACCACAAAGACAGAGCCATGAGTAGGTTTGTTCTTTCTCTTGTTTGGTGTTGTACCCTTTTATCAAATGTGGGTGCACAAAGGTCAACCAAAGGGGTATTTCAGCCAGACATTTTGAGGAATCGTACTTTCCCATGCAGACTGACTACAAACAGGGGGTGTATGACAGGATGTATTGAGTCACGCTTTTCACCTGTGGACTTTCTGTTTGCACGAGTAAACATGCATTAAACAGGTATTTTTGGTTGCATCTTTTCACTAGTACTCAGACTAATTGCTGACTAGATAACTGGACTCATCAATAGTGTGAGGAATGAGAGGTTCAAAGAGAACCAATGATGTGATTCCATTAAAGTTAAGATCAAACATCTTCTGTTAATCTGGTGTCATGTAGTTACGAATATCTACCAGATCTAATTAAATTCAAATGTCTCCCGGCTGCTTTTTTCAGACAAACTTATCAAGGTTCACCTGGACTTCAAGGTCAGGATCACAAGACAGCAGAAAATCCTCTGATGGTGAGATGTGTATCTACAAAACAAGATTAAACCCAACACAGTGGGAGAAAAA